TGCTCTTTATCTATGCACTAGGATCCATTCTTGCATTCTTCTTGGGGATCACTATGCCACTTGCAGGTATGTTTCATTGTAACATTATAGGATATTACAGTGATAGGCAATTAAAGGGGCTACATCATAAGTGAACCATCTTGGAAACAGGTTTGCTTGTGGTCCATCCTAAATTTATCAAGAGCTGTGGTAGCCATCCTTTCTTATTCTCAGTCTATTATTATACCGAAGCTCCAGCACAGCCCGAAGGGCCTCCAAGCTGAGCCCCATACTTATATAGGAGAGAAAAGGAAACCCATGAATTGATTTTCTCATGGTTATCATGGCTAGCGGTATTGCTTGTGGGAGTGTATACATGACAACGGCGGAATTGCCCAAGATGGTGGCCATACTCCAGCTAATAGGTTGACAAAGACATGCAGCCTAGGTTTATAGCGTCCTTCTTTGATATTAGACATCCATGTTATGGTCAACTGACACCTGTCAAAACAAGGTATCCACTGACCAGTATCACGTGACCATATCGCGGGCTCAAGTTTAGAGCTCATCAAGGTCATGGGTTTTTCTGAAGTTGACCGCTGACCAAGTGCTAGGTTTTAATTGGATCACGTGCTCATGCCAAGTTATATTAAGTATTTTTTCTACAAGCCAAGTGGTCCATCAGGCCAGCACTTATCTCCGGTTTCTGTAGCATGAAGGGATTAAGAGTATTTCTACTCTGCCCTGATGGGAAGCTAGTCCATCACAGGGTTTTCCTCCAGCTTTAAATGTGCCAGTACCCATTTATACACCTGGCTGGAGAGAGGCACTGTGAGAGTGAAGTGTCGTTTGCCTAAGTACACAACAACATGTACCCGGTCAGTCCTCAAACCTGGGCCACTCGATCCAGAGTTGAACACACTAACAATGAGGCCACCACCCCTCCCTTTTCTACCTCAGTTAAAAACTATTAATTCTAAAAAAATAATTATTTTTTATTAGGTTTCCTCCAGTTTGAAAGTAATTCTGTACATGACCCAAACAATGACTTGTCATGAGATATTTTGACATAGCCACTTTTCTTCAATCTATGTTCTGGGTGTCCATACATAAGTCCAAAACTTTGCTCCTGTAATTTAAAGTGGTACTATGACGAAAATGACACATTTCCTATCTGAACCGTTTTTAAACATAGACAAGTAGTCTACATATATATGAGGAGAAAAACGTTGTCTACTATTTTCAAATGTCTCTTTTGGTTCCAGAGATATTCAAGTTTTTAAAATATGCAAATTAGCCAAGTGATGATGTCATAAACTCAACTGAATTTTGATCAAATGTGATGAAGAAAGATATCTCAGCCAATTTGAACCAGAAATGTTTGATTCTTGCAGTAAGATTCTACTAGAGGTGTTCCACAATATGAACTTAACATTTTAGTTACCATGGCAACATACTAGGTTCCAGACCTCCCCAATATTAAAGGCTTTTCTGGCCACCTTAGAGGTTCTATATTGATATTTGCCAATGGTGCCTTATCTGCATGATCCAACAAGTACTTGTATATGTAAGGTCGAGTTCATGGCCTTGTTTAAGGTTTTTCAAGCTGAAAATCATTAAAATATTGAAATCAGGTTTGAGGAGGACAGCTAAAGAGTTGGTTGCCATGGGAAAGGAAACTTTTATAGCAATAGGTGTGTTGCATGTAGAACTGCTAGCCAGCCAAGTTTCAATGGTTTCTGCTCCAAATAAGGCGAGATAGCTCTATTTATATACTTTATGTAATATTTGGTTGAGGGCATAATTTCATCAGTCCTCTCATTTGCATATTTTACACACTTTTCAAACTTAAATATTTCCAGAACCATTGCTGATATTTGCAAACAGTAAACGGCGTTTTGAATCTTTCGTAGAATTCCATGTGATTAACCTAAAATTTCAAGAGGTAAACATTTGATCATAGTACCACTTAAATTATATTGATGTCATTTATTTTAACAAATCGTTTGATTTACCTGAACTTCATGTGACAAGCCAATCCAGTGATTTCTTTTATATTGATACTGATTTTGTTGATCTCAAAACTTCTACATCAGCTTCCCATGCTTGCTATGACAGTTAACTTACCTTCATTAACGTCGAGTTGATAAACAGCCAGTTGAGTTGATAAACAGTGTTGTTCTTTCCCATCGACGTATCCCAACAGTTCCTGTAGAAAATAATGAGTTTGTTTCTTTTCTTAGGTATTCTTCTGCATGCAGCAACTCGGAAGCGAAACATGAACACTGGCAGGATTGCGAACATACTCGACATGTTAACTACGCAAGACGTCACCCCGATGACTATCATTCTGGCAAAGATATGCACCACTGAGAACGAGCAACAAGAAAGTGGCATCCATTGGAACTCAGAAAATACTGGAAATTAAAGTAGTTCGGGCCCAAAAACAGCAGACAGTAATCGGAGAAATAAACGACATGGAACGTTCAATAATTTGATTTTCAACAATGTTGCAATAACAGCAGGAGCTTCCATTGCCTTTGGTGGTCGGCACAAAGAGTTGTCATCAATTCGTTATCAGCCTAACAGGACACTTGAGATGTACATGGTACATATAGTTTTATATTTTTTATATTCAATACTGGCTTCTTTTGTAGACAATATAGTTTTCACAGAGAAGAGTATGATTATTGTAATTTAAAATCGTATGAAACAGTTAAAAGTAATTCGTAGATGTCTAAAATAAAATTGAAATGCTGGGCTCCCCAGACAGGACTGCTGGTCAAGAAAGAGTGATAAAAAAAATAATCTATTTTTCAAGGTTGGAATATTTCAGTATCCTAGATTCCTTGTCAGACAGGGAATTTAATTTTAAGAGTACGCGGGCTAGCTACAGGTTTTAATAATGAGATTGTCACGTGTTAAAAGAACAGTCCTGTTACACTCAATAAAAATTGTTTTATAGTCAGTGAAAAGATGAACGGTCACCAGCAAGACTCCTAGAACTGGAGCGTTCTTCAAGACAAAAGGCTTCAAGCATATAATATTTAAATTCCCAAAGTATTCAACATTCCCCTTACGAGTGTATACAGTTTTGACTAATTCATCGGAACGGTAAAACAATATGTACTAAAACTGCAGTGAGAACAATTTCATCAGGATAGACAGGAACTGGAAAAAATAGGAATCTCTAGATATTTATGTTTATTTACACATTGACGCCAAAAAGTGCCCCTCACCCTCTCCCCTATTAAAGGGAGGGTTCACGGTTCGGCGCATGTCTGTATTATTTATTCGCCTGTCTAAGCTTTTTGGCACGGGCCCAGTTTTTCATTGTTTCTGAACCAATCGTAAACAAGTTACCTAATTTCGCATGCAAATAGCCGCAAAATCACCAATCGTAGAATAAATGGCACGGGTCAACACTTAATTCAACGGTCGACAGCGTCGGTAACATCCACTGAAATCTTCTGAGAATTTTGCTCATCCGTCATTTTGCCACGACTAACTATAGCATGTGTTTACTGAACTGCGTCTGAGTGGGGTTTTTAAAGCGATAACATTGATAGGAAGCATACAAAAGTATGTTGACTTAGAGACATCCGCCGAACCGTGAAACCCTCCCTTTAACAACCGCACTTAGAGCAAAAATATTTCAACTAGACAACCGAATCAACGTCAACACCTCAAGCGGTCTAATTTGCCTTTCCTGTGGTGTAAAGACGACACATACTATCACGCTAAACTTTCAGTTCGATGTAAGAAAGCAGATAGTTCTTTTTCATGAATTATCCGTTCTGCACTTGCTCAAGTCCGCTCGACAGATTATGCCTCTCTGGTATAGAAAACTATTTCGATGTGTTCATGCAGTGACGTTATTTAAGTGTCACTCTTAAATTCTCTTTCATCACAATTGATCTGTTCTTAAAGCATGTAAGAAGTTTGACAAATTAATCTTATTCGTTCATCTGTGAGAGCAAGTATGTCTTGGAAGCGTAGAATGACCTCGAGGAATAATCATGAATTGGCGCTTTACAGTCAACAAAACATAAAAGAGAGAACACCTAATAAGACGGCTTTCTTTGCAGGTGTATAACCCTTTCAGCGAGTTTTGAACCGAAACCGAGATTTCTTTGAAAATCACTGAACCCAACAAACCAACTGACTAGCTGATAAATACCCCGCAGACACTTGGAATTATCTACAATGGGAGACAAAAGTGGTTGAAATACTTTAAGAAAATGACGCTTTTCGAAATTGAAGCACTTATTCTATTTTATTTGCACCTAGCGTTAATTTTCTGATAACCCGAATAGCATTTTCATTATTCCAGTTTTAAAGAAACTTTGGTAGATCTGATTTCATAGCATGTTGTGTTCCTGCGTATTATGTACAATCTCCAGTCTTCATCAATTTTCGTCTTACGTGCTTTCTTAAGTAGTTTCTTTAGTAGGTTTTTAATATTCGTTCATTCTTAAGAGAAAGCATGGTTTCTGGATCATGTGCAGAATACCTTCGAGGAATAATCATGAATTGGCGCAGTCTATAAACATAAAAGATAGAGAACACTCAAGAAGTCGGCTTTCTTTCGCAAGTCTGCAACCCTTTCAGAGAGTTTTGAACCGAAACGGGGATTTCTTTGAAAATCACTGAACCCAACCAAACAAACACTGATAACGACCCCGTGAGAACAACTAATTCATCTCACATCATATCCAACAAACGCGAGTGGAATAATTGTTTCGTTAAAAACGCCCCCAAAATACAGAAAACTAAACCAAGCTAGTAAATAAAAGACAAAACTCACGCGCACGCTTACCATATTTGTAGAGCACGGTATAATGGCTCATAGCTCATGATGGCTAAGCCAATAAAAACTCTCGAATTGCATTATCCAGTGATCCATTTTTACGCCTGAGACATGCATGAACAGATGTGTTCCGTGTTCAGCTTGTGTGAGACAAACTCGAAAAATTGCATTACAATATGTGCGTAACGAAATTATTCATTGCTTTTAGCTTTAAGCTCGCAACTACGGGAAGAAAACCTTTCAGATTCTTGCATATGTTAAAGCCAAAGAGAACAGCTGGACAGTACCACTATCCAGTTAAATTTACACATCCCTACGAACGATACTTACAATGTCAGCTTTTATGCAAGAATTATACCCGAACTGGAACTCACTTCACTTGCTTTCAGTGATTCGTGCGTAGCGACTCTTAATTCGAAATGCCATCTCTCGAAATGTTNCTTTCCTGTGGTGTAAAGACGACACATACTATCACGCTAAACTTTCAGTTCGATGTAAGAAAGCAGATAGTTCTTTTTCATGAATTATCCGTTCTGCACTTGCTCAAGTCCGCTCGACAGATTATGCCTCTCTGGTATAGAAAACTATTTCGATGTGTTCATGCAGTGACGTTATTTAAGTGTCACTCTTAAATTCTCTTTCATCACAATTGATCTGTTCTTAAAGCATGTAAGAAGTTTGACAAATTAATCTTATTCGTTCATCTGTGAGAGCAAGTATGTCTTGGAAGCGTAGAATGACCTCGAGGAATAATCATGAATTGGCGCTTTACAGTCAACAAAACATAAAAGAGAGAACACCTAATAAGACGGCTTTCTTTGCAGGTGTATAACCCTTTCAGCGAGTTTTGAACCGAAACCGAGATTTCTTTGAAAATCACTGAACCCAACAAACCAACTGACTAGCTGATAAATACCCCGCAGACACTTGGAATTATCTACAATGGGAGACAAAAGTGGTTGAAATACTTTAAGAAAATGACGCTTTTCGAAATTGAAGCACTTATTCTATTTTATTTGCACCTAGCGTTAATTTTCTGATAACCCGAATAGCATTTTCATTATTCCAGTTTTAAAGAAACTTTGGTAGATCTGATTTCATAGCATGTTGTGTTCCTGCGTATTATGTACAATCTCCAGTCTTCATCAATTTTCGTCTTACGTGCTTTCTTAAGTAGTTTCTTTAGTAGGTTTTTAATATTCGTTCATTCTTAAGAGAAAGCATGGTTTCTGGATCATGTGCAGAATACCTTCGAGGAATAATCATGAATTGGCGCAGTCTATAAACATAAAAGATAGAGAACACTCAAGAAGTCGGCTTTCTTTCGCAAGTCTGCAACCCTTTCAGAGAGTTTTGAACCGAAACGGGGATTTCTTTGAAAATCACTGAACCCAACCAAACAAACACTGATAACGACCCCGTGAGAACAACTAATTCATCTCACATCATATCCAACAAACGCGAGTGGAATAATTGTTTCGTTAAAAACGCCCCCAAAATACAGAAAACTAAACCAAGCTAGTAATTAAAAGACAAAACTCACGCGCACGCTTACCATATTTGTAGAGCACGGTATAATGGCTCATAGCTCATGATGGCTAAGCCAATAAAAACTCTCGAATTGCATTATCCAGTGATCCATTTTTACGCCTGAGACATGCATGAACAGATGTGTTCCGTGTTCAGCTTGTGTGAGACAAACTCGAAAAATTGCATTACAATATGTGCGTAACGAAATTATTCATTGCTTTTAGCTTTAAGCTCGCAACTACGGGAAGAAAACCTTTCAGATTCTTGCATATGTTAAAGCCAAAGAGAACAGCTGGACAGTACCACTATCCAGTTAAATTTACACATCCCTACGAACGATACTTACAATGTCAGCTTTTATGCAAGAATTATACCCGAACTGGAACTCACTTCACTTGCTTTCAGTGATTCGTGCGTAGCGACTCTTAATTCGAAATGCCATCTCTCGAAATGTTATGTAACCTGGCCTACGTCAAAAAAGTAAGCACAGCTGGCTTCTTCACGGTCGAACTAAACTTTTAGTCCCGCAAGATGGATTTATCTGACATCAGAATAAGGCTAGGACATGCTAGAAGTACAAAGAAAACATTCTGTGAGAGATAAATCGACTGTTTTGAATGTTTTCTTCTTTTGAATATTAGCTGAGCGATAGTGGCCCAATTCTACTGGAAATCACCGGCATTGAGAGCCGATCGACTACACTAAAATTGTTTGAGTTATCCCGTTAATCGGGAAACATGCAAAGTCCACAATCTACTTCATTCATTTGAGGTCGGTAATTATCATTTATTGGTCATTTGTTCCGCTAATAACCAAAACAATTGCCAGTTTCACAGTCAAACGGTCTTTCAGCCGTTTACATAGCATGTTGAAAGATGGCATGTCGAAAGATGGTCGAAAGATGTCGCCTATGCACATAACACATTCGGATCCATTTGTGCTGTGATATAGAATCGAGTTCTTGTACATAAACATGGTTTATTTCGATTCATTTCCTTGCTCCAGGAATTCTCATTTTATTCATTTTTTAAATCAAATTTAAGTTGCAAAGCAGTAAAAACGAATTCCCGGCTGATTGCAGCCACGGATTCTTGTGCCACAAGACCACAAAATTGATTCTTTTTCTTTTCCATTTGAAAACAGAGTGCGCGTCTCGCATCAGTGTTATCTAACTCGAAAGCCCCAGAAACTTTTCGCGGGGTCCGAAAAGCCACTTCTAGCTGACTGCATCTAAATACAGAGAGGTGTATATACCTGAAACTTCTTCCATGAAGCTTTGTTCATGTTAAGAATATGTGAATTAACCAGCTCTAAAATCATAAGGTTCGAGATCTTCCGATGGCTTTCCAGCCGGTGCGAAAACTTTTCTAGACATTCGAGAAACGGGCCCCATTTGAAAGAAGAGTGCGCGTCTCGCATTTTACCTTATGATACTGATTTGACTCTGGATGAAGAATTCGTCGACCAAGATAACAGCTATTTATCAACAACAGGCTGATACTCGTTAAGAATCATGTTATTTATTTTTCTTTGTAACTGCGTCCGACTAGTTACGCTATTGTTCATTTTATCAAAGGCCGGTCTTTATCCAAAGGTAGGAACTAAAGTTTTCCGCACTGAAAAATTGGACTGTCGGTCCACAAATTTAATCAAGCAAGGCGTGGAAGAGTGCAATAAGCCCTTTCAACTAGTACTTCATTTCGATTATTGTCAGAAGTGGAGTATGGGCAGGCGGTTCAAAGGGATGGCCGGTCAAGATGGCTGGTTATTGGTCAAGTTCTTTATTTGCGTGTTTATGGACCGAGACGGAGTCTTGACCAAACAAGTTTGGTCAATAAAGGATTTATTATATTGCTTTGGGGNGGGATTTTTCTTGCGGGACACAGTGGGTAGTCCCGAGCGGGCAAGATAGCACCACTTTGCCCGCTCGGGTAGCCAATCAGAGCGCAGGATTTGGTTCATCTTGCTCGCTTACGGCGCTAGCCATATAATAAAAGTCCGTATTAACGAGACCGTAGTTCTGACTTTGTTCCGCGACACGAGATTTCGTCTTACAGTTTCAGAGATGCTAAATATCACAGCCGCGCACCTAACAAGTTTTAGCTGTAGCGGGGCTGTGCACTGGAATATCTTACTTAAAGAGATGAAACAAACAACGCTGTAAGTAATTTTAAGATGAAATGAAATTTAAAGCCAGAGCGCTCCTTTAATGATATATCTTTGGATATTTACACGGCATCCTTGTAAAACAGGTGTGTAATGAGTTTATTACAGAAGAGGATGAAGGATAACGCAGTTTATTCCCCATACAGACCTTATTCTGAAGGTAATCCGAAGGTAATCCCTCCTATTTTTAGATCACTCCCGATTTCGAAATTCCCATGGAGGGCCCAGAAATATCCAATCATGAGTCGCAAATTTCGCTCACGTGTTCAGCCCAATCACAAGCGGCTTTCCACGCATTTTAATTTCATCGTGCACAAAAACATCCCCGCAACACCGGTGATTACATTTTCCGCCGGAGAATTGGGCTACATCTTTAAAGACGCTTGAGCATGATTACCTCAAGAATAAGGCCTAAAAATATGAAGAATGAACTCTCTTACCTTTATTCTCTCTTGTTTCTTATTAGTTGTTACCTACCGCCTGTACCGCTTCCACAACCACCACTACTACCGCTACTGTAAACGCTTCTGCTTCTGCTTCTGCTACAGCTAAAGCTTCTGTTGCTACTACTGCAAAAACTTGTGCTACTGCAACTGCCTCTGCTACTTCTACTGCTACGGCGATTGCTGCTACTACTGCAAATACCTGTGCTACTGATATTGCAAACGCTTCTGCTGCTGCTGTTAGTACTATAGCTGTAAGCAATAGTGATAGGACTGAGTGAAGTCCAATTCGGTCTGTAATTATACGAATGATTGACAAAATCGGACGAACGCGCCGCGCGCGGGAGTCCTATTCGTTTTATCACGAGTTAATTATAAAAAGAATGGGACGACACGAAGTACGGCCACCTATAAATTAATCAAAACCGTAACAAAATGTGATGACCTACAAGCATGACGCATGCACTATCCTATTTGGGCTAACATCGGACCTGTTGAGAGCCAATCAGACTCGTGAATTTTGTTACAGTTTTCATTATAATACTAACAGTAGTGATAATCAGGTAATACTAATGGTTTTATTGCTGCGGCCTGCCGCTGCTACTCAGGAGGTACTCGCAGAAAAATCGGGTGGGGGTGTGCGGCTCGCTTCCCAAAACCTTTACCGTAGTTATGACCAAATTCTGCGATTTCCCCTACCCCATTCATGACCTGACAAAAAAAATTGGATTCCCTATTTAGGACCGTTGCGGCTGGTACAGTTACCCTGAACATAGTTTATGAAGGGCTTTTGTTGATGGTCTTATCGATAAAGATGAAAAAGTAGCTTCCTCTAATAAACATACCCAATTGAAGACCAGCGTTAAAAACCATACCCTATTTATGACCAAAATGGCCAAAATCGATGCCCCGCGATTTATGGCCAAAACGGCTGAAAAACCATACGGTTTCGGGCTGCACTTACTTATACAGCCCATATATATAAGGGAGCACTGTCTCCCGGGCGCTGCTACTTTTTATAATACAGTATTCCTAGCTGAGCAACTCAGTCAAACCATTTTTTAAACATATTCAGTGAATAAATTTTGAGTCTCAGAATAAAGAAATTGAAAGAAAGAAACAAAGCGAGTCAAACACTTCCCAAATATTTACCACATGAGTTAAATAAGGAGCTAAATAATCTTCACTCAATTAATCTTATGCGTGTGAATGAGAAAGTAAAAAGAAAAGTATCGACGACTATAACTGCTTCCGAAAATTAAGGTTATCTTCACAATTGTTCTACACTATCATTGGAACTGTTACCATATCCATGGTAAAGCCTCGAGAATTGCCCTCCTTCGTTCTGCAGTAAGATTTCTGGTTTGTCGTATTCAACAACTTGTCCATTTTCCAGAACCAAGACTCGATCGTAATCGATGATGGTGTTTAATCGATGTGCAATTGTAATCACGGTGCAATGCTTAAATTTTGTGCGTATAGTTTCTTGAATCAACTGATCTGTCTTATAATCGACATTTGCGGTTGCTTCATCCATGATGATAATCTTGCTTCTCCTCAATAAAGCGCGAGCCAGACACAGAAGTTGTCTTTCGCCGACGCTGAAGTTTGCTCCACATTCTTTAATCTCCTCACTCAGTTGGTTCGATAAATTTTCCACCATGGTCTTCAGACTAGCTTCTTCTAATGCACCCCAGAGTTCCTGATCAGCGTACTTCTCAAAAGGATCCAAGTTCATGCGCAGTGAACCAGTAAACAGAATAGGATTCTGGGTAATGGCTGACATGGCTCGGCGAGCACTTTGGATGTTAATCTTGCCGATGTCAACGTCATCAATAATGACTTTTCCAGTCGGTTGAGGCATGCGAAACAGAGCTGAAACCAGTGACGACTTGCCAGCTCCAGTGCGACCAACAATTCCTATTTTCTCCTGCGAATCGACACTAAAATTGACATCTTTCAGTATATCTGGTCCACCCTCGTAGTAAACTAGGTCCAAATTCTTTACTTGTACCCGACCTTGTTCCGGCCAGTTGTCTTGAAGCTGCTGATCACAGTCATACCCAGGTTCCTCCTCAAGGTTAGCATATGTTATGACACGTTCTACGGACGTCATCTCATTTTCAACCTCTGAGCACTGCCTGACGCCATATTGTGACGTATCTACTGCAAGTTGGAGGGCGTAGACAAGAGATAGAGCTGTAATGCCTAAGAACGAAACACCGATTAAAGCAAATAAGTTTCGACTTCAATACGATTGACACTGATCAACTTAATCCACGAGTTTAGTCTGATCGTACTCTTAAAAATTTACGGGTTTTAAAATGAGGGTAAAATTTGTATTTCGCTTGAGGAGAGTTATATCATGTAACCTCATTTTTTCCCTAAAAATAACAGTTATTTAGGATTTTTAACCTCTGACTTTTCACAGTGAAAATACTTGAAAATTGTGGAAGCAGGTATTTGCTTAATTGCTCTAAGGACACTCGAGCCATGAACACTTGAAAAAGATGCATTTTCGTACAATATTTCGGTTACTATAGAATGAATGCCGATATAATGCACAAGAGTGGTGTGTTTTCAATGTAAAAGCGCTAAATATTCTTCTGGTTAGGTTGAAGAACCCTCATTCTGTAGTCACCGAACGAATGTGCAAAAATATGTTAAGTCAGTCCACGGCCTAAACTAGTATGAGGCAAACCGTGGAACTTGCCTCAGTTAATTTTTCGTTGTTGTTGTTGTTGTT